ACATCAACCACACAGGTAGATACATCAACCACACAGGTAGATACATCAACCACACAGGTAGATACATCAACCACACAGGTAGATACATCAACCACACAGGTAGATACATCAACCACACAGGTAGATACATCAACTACACAGGTAGATACTTCAACCACAGGTAGATACATCAACCACACAGGTAGATACATCAACCACACAGGTAGATACATCAACCACACAGGTAGATACTTCAACCAGAGGTAGATACATCAACCACACAGGTAGATCCATCAACCACACAGGTAGATCCATCAACCACACAGGTAGATACTTCAACCACAGGTAGATACATCAACTACACAGGTAGATACATCAACCACACAGGTAGATACTTCAACCACAGGTAGATACATCAACCACACAGGTAGATATATCAACCACAGTTAGATACATCAACCACACAGGTAGATATATCAACCACACAGGTAGATATATCAACCACACAGGTAGATACATCAACCACACAGGTAGATATATCAACCACACAGGTAGATATATCAACCACACAGGTAGATATATCAACCACACAGGTAGATACATCAACCACACAGGTAGATATATCAACCACACAGGTAGATATATCAACCACACAGGTAGATACGTCAACTGCACAGGTAAATAAGTCGTTAAAATCCATAGGGATTATCATTGGATAATCATTCGTTAACCACACAAAACCATCCTTGGGGGACCATCCATAACCATGGGGACCATCTCCATCCTTGGGGGACCATCCATAACCATGGGGACCATCCATAACCATGGGGACCATCCATAATCATGGGGACCATCTCCATCCTTGGGGGACCATCCATAACCATGGGGACCATCCATAACCATGGGGACCATCCATAACCATGAACATAAGAACAAAGGTAACTGCAGAAGGCCTATTGACCCATACGAGGCAGCTCCTATCTATAACCACCCAATCCCACACATATACATGTCCAACCCGCGCTTGAAACAATCGAGGGACCCCACCTCCACCACGTTACGCGGTAATTGGTTCCACAAACCCTGTTACCGAACCAGTATTTACCCAATTCTTTCCTAAATCTAAACTTATCCAATTTATACCCATTGTTTCGAGTTCTGTCTTATGTTGATACTTTTAATACCCTATTAATATCCCCTTTGTTATGTCCATTCATCCACTTGTAAACCTTTATCATGTCACCCCTATCGCCTTTCCAGTGAATGCAATTTAAGCTTTGTTAATCTTTCTTCATATGAAAGATTTATAATTTGGGGAATTAACTTAGTCATCCTACGCTGGACACATTCAAGTGAATTGATATCCATTCACTAGTACGGCGACCAAAACTGAACTGGATAATCTTAATGGGGCCTAACCAGAGCAAGATATAGCTGAAGAACCACACCAGGTGTCTTGTTACTAACGCTTCGATTCATAAATCCGAGTGTCCTATTTGTCTTATTACGAACATTCATGCATTAATCCTTTGGTTTTACATTCTTACTAATCATAACTCCCAGATCCCTTTCGCAATCCGACTTCACAATCTCAACACCATCTAGCTCGTATCTTGTAACTCTATCATCATTACCTAGCCTCAGAACATTACATCTGCATCTGCCAATCTTTTGACCATTTCAAAACCCTACTTAGATCAACTTGAAGTGATAGTGAGTCTTCTTCCGTGTTAATTTCCCTACCGATTTTTGTATCATCGGCAAATTTGCAAATGTTGCTACTCAAACCTGAATCTAAATCCTTTATATATATATTATAAACAACAGAGGTCCCAAGACAGAGCCTTGAGGCACTCCACTTACAACATATTCCCACTCTGACTTAACCCCATTTATACTAACTCTCTGTTTCCTTTGGTATAGTCATACCCTAATCCTGTCCATCTGTTCCTGTCCTGTTCCCCAAATACCATGAGCCTCTATCTTTTTAATCATAAGAACAAAGGGGAGGGGGGGCATGGGGACCATCCATAACCATGGGGACCATCCATACCCATGGGGACCATCCATAACCATGGGGACCATCCATAACCATGGGGACCATCCATAACCATGGGGACCATCCATAACCATGGGGACCATCCATAACCATGGGGACCATCCATAACTATGGGCATTATCCATAACCATGGGGATCATTTTCATCCTAGCGGGACCATCCATAACCATGGGGACTATCTCCATCCTTGGGGACCATACATAACCATGGTGACCATCTCTATCCTTGGAGGATCATCCATAACCACAGGAACCATCCATAACCACAGGGACCATCCATAACCACAGGGACCATCCATAACCACAGGGACCATCCATAACCATGGGGACCCTCAATAACCACAGGGACCCTCCATAACCACAGGGACTATAACCACAGGAACCATCCATAACCACAGGGACCATCCATACCCACAGAGACCATCCATAACCACAGGGACCATCCATAACCACAGGGACCATCCATAACCACAGGAACCATCCATAACCACAGGAACCATCCATAACCACAGGAACCATCCATAACCACAGGGACCATCCATAACCACAGGGACCATCCATAACCACAGGGACCATCCATAACCACAGGGACCATCCATAACCACAGGAACCATCCATAACCACAGGAACCACCCATAACCACAGGAACCACCCATAACCACAGGGACCATCCATAACCACAGGGACCATCCATAACCACAGGGACCATACATAACCACAGGGACCATCTATAATCACAGGGACCATCCATAACCACAGGAACCATCCATAACCACAGGAACCACCCATAACCACAGGAACCATCCATAACCACAGGGACCATCCATAACCACAGGGACCATCCATAACCACAGGGACCATACATAACCACAGGGACCATCTATAATCACAGGAACCATCCATAACCACAGGAACCATCCATAACCACAGGAACCACCCATAACCACAGGAACCATCCATAACCACAGGGACCATCCATAACCACAGGGACCATCCATAATCACAGGAACCATCCATAACCACAGGGACCATCCATAACCACAGGGACCATCTATAACCACAGGAACCATCCATAACCACAGGAACCATCCATAACCACAGAGACCATCCATAACCACAGGGACCATCCATAACCACAGGGACCATCCATAACCACAGGGACCATCCATAACCACAGGGACCATCCATAACCACAGGGACCATCCATAACCACAGGGACTATCCATAGCCTCAGGGACCATAACCACAGGAACCATCCATAACCACAGGGACCATCCATAACCACAGAGATCATCCATAACCACAGGAACCATCCACAACCACAGGAACCACCCATAACCACAGGGACCATCTATAACTACTGGGACCATCCATAACCACAGGAACCATCCATAACCACAGGGACCATCCATAACCACAGGAACCATCCATAACCACAGGAACCATCCACAACTACAGGAACCACCCATAACCACAGGAACCATCCATAACCACAGGGACCATCCATAACCACAGGAACCATCCATAACCACAGGAACCATCCACAACCACAGGAACCACCCATAACCACAGGAACCATCCATAACCACAGGGACCATCCATAACCACAAGGACCATCCATAACCACAGGGACCATCCATAACCACAGGGACCATCCATAACCATAGGAACCATCCATAACCACAGAGACCATCCATAACCACAGGGACCATCCATAACCACAGGGACCATCCATAACCACAGGGACCATCCATAACCACAGAGACCATCCATAACCAGAGGGACCATCCATAACCACAGGGACCATCCATAACCACAGGGACCATCCATAACCACAGGGACCATCCATAACCACAGGATCCATCCATAACCACAGGAACCATCCATAACCACAGGGACCATCCATAACCACAGGGACCATCCATAACCACAGGGACCATCCATAACCACAGGAACCATTTATAACCACAGGGACCGTCCATAACCACAGGGACCGTCCATAACCACAGGGACCATCCATAACCACAGGGACCATCCATAACCACAGAGACCATCCATAACCACAGGGACCATCCATAACCACAGGGACCATCCATAACCACAGGGACCATCCATAACCACAGGGACCATTTATAACCACAGGGACCATCCATAACCACAGGGACCATCCATAACCACAGAGACCATCCATAACCACAGGGACCATCCATAACCACAGGGACCATCCATAACCACAGGGACCATCTATAACCACAGGAACCATCCATAACCACAGGGACCATTTATAACCACAGGGACCATCCATAACCACAGGGACCATCCATAACCACAGGAACTATCCATAACCACAGGAATCCATCCACAACCACAGGAACCACCCATAACCACAGGAACCATCCATAACCACAGGGACCATCTGTAACCACAGGGACCTTCCATAACTACAGGAACCATCCATAACCACAGGGACCATCCATAACCGCAGGGACCATCCATAACCACTGGGATCATCCATAACCACAGGAACCTTCCATAACTACTGGGACCATCCATAACCACAGGGACCATCCATAACCACAGGGACCATCCATAACCACAGGGACCATCCATAACCACAGGGACCATCCATAACCACAGGAATCATCCATAACCACAGGGATCATCCATAACCACAGGAACCTTCCATAACTACTGGGACCATTCATAACCACAGGAACCATCCATAACCACAGGGACCATCCATAACCACAGGGACCATCCATAACCACACGGACCATCCATAACCACAGGGACCATCCATAACCACACGGACCATCCATAACCACAGGGACCATCCATAACCACAGGGACCATCCATAACCACACGGACCATCCAATATAGTAAACAGTTATATTGACCGTCACGTGAAATTCTGCCAAGTAAGGATCGATCACAACTGACAAATTTACGAAAACAAACTTACCTGGTGTTGTAGCGGGGCTGGTAGTCTGTGTCTGCCGGGAGGGCTGTTGTAGCGGGGCTGGTAGTCTGTCTGCCGGGAGGGCTGTTGTAGCGGGGCTGGTAGTCTGTCTGCCGGGAGGGCTGTTGTAGCGGGGCTGGTAGTCTGTCTGCCGGGAGGGCTGTTGTAGCGGGGCTGGTAGTCTGTCTGCCGGGAGGTTTGTTGTAGCGGGGCTGGTAGTCTATCTGTCTGTTGGGAGGGCTGTTGAAGTGACGCTGGGCTAATATATAGTGACGCAGGGCTACTATAGTGAGGGAGGACTGCTATATAGTGAGGCAGGACTACTACAGGGACTGCTATATATTGAGGAAAGACTGCTATATAGTGACGCAGGGTTAATATAGTGAAGCAGGACTACTATAGTGCCGTAGGACTGCTATAAGTACACCGTACCGAGAGAGGACGGAACCGGTACTGAGAGCCAGCTAGAGCCCAGAGCGGCAAGGCTGGGAGCGTACGGTACGCGTCCACCACTTGTACCACTACGGTACGCTGACGTGGACCTCTCTCAGGTTTCCTGCCTGAACGTATCGCTCGCTCCCACCCCCATGGGACCATTGCTAAGTGTAGACATACCACAGATCTACTCATATATGTATACACTGCGAACCAGCATACACGCATTTTCCTGTTTTGCATACCAGTTACTCCATCTATCATCATTCTATTATGCAGGAAGAACCGCACGTCTATGGGTCATCCAAGCTAGGCTTAGGCTCGGCTACAAGTACCTCTGGGAGTTTGTAACATCTGCTGATGTAGATTTGACTAAATGTAAACTCTGTCAGCAGAACTATTTGCATACGTTGCGTCATTATATAATGGAATGTGAAAAAACCGCGGAATTTAGAGATGACACCATCAATAGTGTCCAAGAAATGTGTAAGTACTTCATTCATAATGATGTGCTGCCCGAAATCTTAGCGAAGTATCCAAAATTTGCTTAATGTAGGTAATGCATGCACATGACTGTAAAGCTGCCGCCCAGTTGGGTGGGTGTGGAGCACATGACTGTAAAGCTGCCGCCCAGTTGGGTGGGTGTGGAGCACATGACTGTAAAGCTGCCGCCCAGTTGGGTGGGTGTGACTCACCATAGATGTAAAGTGCCTTGTATAGTGACTGTTGTGAGCCTCTTGTTGATCACCTGTGACACAAAAAATATTGATGTGTGTATTTGTGTGGGTGATTAAATATGTATGTATATATATATATATATATATATATATATATATATATATATATATATATATATATATATATATATATATATATATGTCGTACCTAGTAGCCAGAACTCACTTTTTGGCCTACTATTCAAGGCCCGATTTGCCTAATAAGCCAAGTTTTCCTGAATTAATAGATTTTCTCAAATTTTTTTCTTATGAAATGATAAAGCTACCCATTTCATTAGGTATGAGGTCAATTAGTTTTTATTGGAGTTAAAATTAACGTAGATATATGACCGAACCTAACCAACCCTACCTAACCTAACCTAACCTATCTTTATAGGTTAGGTTAGGTTAGGTAGCCGAAAACTTAGGTTAGGTTAGGTTTGGTAGGTTAGGTAGTCGAAAAACAATTAATTCATGAAAACTTGGCTTATTAGGCAAATCGGGCCTTGCATAGTAGGCTGAGAAGTGCGTTCTGGCTACTAGGTACGACATATATATATATATATATATATATATATATATATATATATATATATATATATATATATATATGTCGTACCTAGTAGCCAGAACGCATTTCTATGCCTACTATGCAAGGCCCGATTTGCCTAATAAGCCAAGTTTTCAAGAATTAATTGTTTTTCGACTACCTAACCTAACCTAACCTAACTTTTTCGGCTACCTAACCTAACCTAACCTATAAAGATATAGGTTAGGTTAGGTAGGGTTGGTTAGGTTCGGTCATATATCTACGTTAATTTTAACTCCAATAAAAAAAAATTGACCTCATACGTTCAGGGTAGCTTTATCATTTCATAAGAAAAAAATTAGAGGAAATATATTAATTCAGGAAAACTTGGCTTATTAGGCAAATCGGGCCTTGCATAGTAGGCACCAGAAGTGCGTTCTGGCTATTAGGTACGACATATATATATATATATATATATATATATATATATATATATATATATATATATATATATATATATATATATATATATATATATATATATATATGTCGTACCTAGTAGCCAGAACGCACTTCTATGCCTACTATGCAAGGCCCGATTTGCCTAATAAGCCAAGTTTTCCTGAATTAATATATTTCCTCTAATTTTTTTCTTATGAAATGATAAAGCTACCCATTTCATTACGTATGAGGTCAATTTTTTTTATTGGAGTTAAAATTAACGTAGATATATGACCGAACCTAACCAACCCTACCTAACCTAACCTAACCTATCTTTATAGGTTAGGTTAGGTTAGGTAGCCGAAAAAGTTAGGTTAGGTTAGGTTAGGTAGTCGAAAAACAATTAATTCTTGAAAACTTGGCTTATTAGGCAAATCGGGCCTTGCATAGTAGGCATAGAAGTGCGTTCTGGCTACTAGGTACGACATATATATATATATATATATATATATATATATATATATATATATATATATATATATATATATGTCGTACCTAGTAGCCAGAACGCACTTCTCAGCCTACTATGCAAGGCCCGATTTGCCTAATAAGCCAAGTTTTCATGAATTAATTGTTTTTCGACTACCTAACCTACCAAACCTAACCTAACCTAAGTTTTTCGGCTACCTAACCTAACCTAACCTATAAAGATAGGTTAGGTTAGGTTAGGTAGGGTTGGTTAGGTTCGGTCATATATCTACGTTAATTTTAACTCCATTAAAAAAAATTTAGCTTTATCATTTCACAAGAAAAAAATTAGAGAAAATATATTAATTCAGGAAAACTTGGCTTATTAGGCAAATCAGGCCTTGCATAGTAGGCCGAGAAGTGCGTTCTGGCTACTAGGTACGAATATATATATATATATATATATATATATATATATATATATATATATATATATATATATTAGTATATTTTGGTAGCAGTCTTTCCTGTAGACATATATTATTAAATATGACCGAAAAAGTAAGATTAATAATTCTAACACGAATTTTCTCAATCTTTCGTACATTACGCTTCACTGTTGGAGGTAAATAAAAAATCACTTCTCCAAAATTCATTTTTATTTCTAGTCTGACGCGACACGGGCGCGTTTCGTAAAACTTATTACATTTTCAAAGACTTCACAAATACACAACTGATTAGAACTTGCGTTTCCCTGATTTTATATCTACATTTGAGTGAGGTGGGAAGGGTGATGTGGCATTACATTTGAGTGAGGTGGGAAGGGTGATGTGGCATTAACACAAGACAGAACACTAGGGGATATTAATAGGGTATTAAAAGTATCAACACAAGACAGAACAGAAACAATGGGTATTGAATAGAAGTGTTTGTAGAAAGCCTATTGGTCCATATTTCTTGATGCTTCTATATTGGAGCGGAGTCTTGAGGTGGGTAGAATATAGTTGTGCAATAATTGGCTGTTGATTGCTGGTGTTGACTTCTTGATGTGTAGTGCCTCGCAAACGTCAAGCCGCCTGCTATCGCTGTATCTATCGATGATTTCTGTGTTGTTTACTAGGATTTCTCTGGCGATGGTTTGGTTATGGGAAGAGATTATATGTTCCTTAATGGAGCCCTGTTGTTTATGCATCGTTAAACGCCTAGAAAGAGATGTTGTTGTCTTGCCTATATACTGGGTTTTTTGGAGCTTACAGTCCCCAAGTGGGCATTTGAAGGCATAGACGACGTTAGTCTCTTTTAAAGCGTTCTGTTTTGTGTCTGGAGAGTTTCTCATGAGTAGGCTGGCCGTTTTTCTGGTTTTATAGTAAATCGTCAGTTGTATCCTCTGATTTTTGTCTGTAGGGATAACGTTTCTATTAACAATATCTTTCAGGACCCTTTCCTCTGTTTTATGAGCTGTGGAAAAGAAGTTCCTGTAAAATAGTCTAATAGGGGGTATAGGTGTTGTGTTAGTTGTCTCTTCGGAGGTTGCATGGCTTTTCACTTTCCTTCTTATGATGTCTTCGATGAAACCATTGGAGAAGCCGTTATTGACTAGGACCTGCCTTACCCTACAGAGTTCTTCGTCGACTTGCTTCCATTCTGAGCTGTGGCTGAGAGCACGGTCGACGTATGCGTTAACAACACTCCTCTTGTACCTGTCAGGGCAGTCGCTGTTGGCATTTAGGCACATTCCTATGTTTGTTTCCTTTGTGTAGACTGCAGTGTGGAAACCTCCGCCCTTTTCCATGACTGTTACATCTAGAAAAGGCAGCTTCCCATCCTTTTCCGTCTCGTAAGTGAAACGCAGCACGGAACTCTGCTCAAATGCCTCCTTCAGCTCCTGCAGATGTCTGACATCAGGTACCTGTGTAAAAATGTCGTCAACATACCTGCAGTATATGGCCGGTTTCAAGTTCATGTCGACTAAGACTTTTTGCTCGATGGTACCCATGTAGAAGTTTGCAAACAGGACACCTAGGGGAGAACCCATGGCGACCCCATCTACTTGCTTATACATGTGCCCATCCGGGCTCAAGAAGGGTGCCTCTTTAGTACAAGCTTGGAGTAGTTTCCTCAGAATACTTTCTGGCATGTCAAGAGGAGTACAGGCTGGATCACGATACACTCTGTCGGCTATCATTCCGATTGTCTCGTCCACAGGTACGTTGGTAAACAGCGATTCTACGTCCAACGAGGCTCTTATCCCTGTGGCCCGTGCGCCCCGCAGTAAGTCCACAAATTCCTTTGGAGACTTCAGGCTGAAGGCGCAAGGAACATAAGGAGTCAGCAGGCCGTTGAGTCGCTTCGCCACACCCACCCACACCCACGTACAGACTGGCGAAGCGACTCAACGGCCTGCTGACTCCTTATGTTCCTTGCGCCTTCAGCCTGAAGTCTCCAAAGGAATTTGTGGACTTACTGCGGGGCGCACGGGCCACAGGGATAAGAGCCTCGTTGGACGTAGAATCGCTGTTTACCAACGTACCTGTGGACGAGACAATCGGAATGATAGCCGACAGAGTGTATCGTGATCCCGCCTGTACTCCTCTTGACATGCCAGAAAGTATTCTGAGGAAACTACTCCAAGCTTGTACTAAAGAGGCACCCTTCTTGAGCCCGGATGGGCACATGTATAAGCAAGTAGATGGGGTCGCCATGGGTTCTCCCCTAGGTGTCCTGTTTGCAAACTTCTACATGGGTACCATCGAGCAAAGAGTCTTAGTCGACATGAACTTGAAACCGGCCATATACTGCAGGTATGTTGACGACATTTTTACACAGGTACCTGATGTCAGACATCTGCAGGAGCTGAAGGAGGCATTTGAGCAGAGTTCCGTGCTGCG